GGGAAAGAGAGGACTTTTACACCTCCCAGCTTCCACTGTTGTCCTTGTTGATCCCAGCAGAAAGATTATTGAATTCGTGTTCCCTGTCCTAAGGATGGTCTTTCAGATGGAGTTTTGAGGTTAGTCTGTGATTTCAGGATTTAGCACTGGGACATCATTCATAACCATACAGAACTCAGCTTAAAGTCCTCAGCTTCCCCTCTTAGAGTGCAGCCATCAAACACAGTTTTTGGGAGAACCTTCATGCTTGTCATGGTTTCTTTGCAGAAGTCTAGTAGCAAGGAGAGTTCTGTGAAAGCGCTTCCCAGCAGCACATCAGAGCCCAGTCAGCTGAGCCTTAGTGACTCCAGCATGCCACCAACTCCCGTGACTCCTGTGACACCCACTGCACCGGCATTACCAGCAACGCCTATTTCACCTCCCCCAGTGTCTGTGGTTAGCAAGAGTGTATCTAGTGCTGGACCAGAACCAGCAAAACCCAGCCAGAGGTACTTCTTCTGTTTCATACATCGCTTGTGAATGTCGCTGGTTCTTTCTCGGTCATTTCCTACGTCTTTGCTGACCTACTGGCTTTATCTTTTCCGTAGCGTTCTCCTGGTATCATCCCCGACTATGCCACAGCTCGGGACGTTGCTTTCCACAGCCCAGAGTCCACAGACGCAGCCGGGGCCGCAGCCACCTCCCACCCGGGTGGTAAGTCACACCACCTCCTCGGGACTGCCGCAGGTCCGGGTGGTCACCGCCCAGTCCAGCCTCCCCGCTGTGTCTCAGCAAGCCCCGATGGTCACCCAGCAGCAGCAACCTACATCAGTGCCTCAAATCCGTGTTCCAGCCACAGCCACACAAACCAAAGTTCTCCCTCAGGTGAGTTTGGCTGCGTGGAAAGGGTGGAGTAGCTCTGACTTTGAATCTGACTTCTTTTAGTATTTTTATATGGGTCGCAAGGGTTACTTACTCACTTGGAACATGCAGTAACTGCGAAGCCAGAGCATAGAAACAGTTGTGCATAAACAATATTGTTAAGTGCTCTTTTTTCATCCCATTGTCTATTTATTTTATTAGTCTGTTAGTATTGTGTTAGTCTGCTCACAGGCTGCCTCTGTGTCTTTCTGTAGCCTGTGATGACTCTGCCAGTAAAAGCTCAAACCAGCCCAGCGCAGGTGCAAAGACCCGGCAGCTCCGTGACAGGACAGACGGGGATCACTGTGACGGGACTGTCTGCAGCACCCAGTCCTGCAGTAAAGCCAGTAACCAGCTCTCCAGGCAGTTCTGCTCCAAGCACCTCCTCTACCACTGTCATCCAGAACGTAGCTGGTCAGAATATCATCAAGCAGGTGAGAGAGAGGGAGAGACAAGGAACTGGGCTTCACAACCCAGTCATTTCTTGTTTGTTATCACAGGCGTGATATGCAGATGTGAAAAAAAAAGTGAAAACTGTAGTGGGCTGTAAAGTTTATGAGTTCTGGACCGTACAGATTTAGGTAGGTGCTGGCTTGGTGCATTTGAGCCCCATTTTCACGTACAGGTAAAAGAGCAAATATCCTGTTGGGAAGTTTTACTTTGTGTCCTGTTTTGATACAGCCATTTTTCTGATCTCTTCCAGGTGGCTATTACAGGACAACTAGGCATGAAAACCCAGCCTGGAAGTGGGATCCCACTCACAGCGACCAATTTTCGGATCCAAGGAAAGGATGTGTTGCGCCTACCCCCGTCCTCTATCACCACAGACGCGAAGGGACAGACTGTGCTGCGCATCACCCCGGATATGATGGCCACCCTGGCCAAATCTCAAGTCACTACTGTCAAACTGACTCAGGACCTCTTCACAGCTGCTGCGGGAAGCAGTGCCGGTGGGAAAGGCATCTCTGCAACTTTGCACGTGACATCCAATCCTGTCCAGACTGCTGATTCTCCAGCCAAGACTAGCACGGCCACTTCGGCTTCTTCCAGCCCAGCTGGAAGCACGGTGGTTAAAGTGACTCCTGACTTAAAGACTGCAGAGCCGACGAGCTCTGCTTTCCGACTGATGCCTGCTCTGGGCATGACTGTGGCAGATCAGAAGAGCAAAGCCATCACCACGGTGGCATCCACCGAGGCCAAACCAGCTGCGACTATCAGAATCGTGCAGGGGCTAGGCGTGATGCCGCCCAAAGCCGGGCAGACTATTACTGTAGCTACTCACGCTAAGCAAGTGCCCTCCTCCTCAGCCGTGAGCGTGCCTGGCACAGTCCATACCTCAGCTGTCTCTTTACCAACCATGAGTGCCACAGTGTCGAAAGCAGTCGCTGTGGCCTCAGGAGCTGCTGGGACTCCCATAACGATAGGCGCAGGAGCCACTGCTGTGCGGCAGGTACCCGTCAGCACCACCGTGGTGTCTACATCCCAGGCAGTAAGTAATGCTAAGCTTTTTCTGGAGGTGGCTGAAAAAGGGGAATGCTGAAATATAGTGGTGGTTTATGTCTGGAAACTTCTCTTTACATCCACAAGGGCTCAAATTAAGTACTGTAGAGTGTGGGTCTGCAATTATTTTCATGGTGTTGGAAATGTAGCTAAAGGCTGAATGACCAGAATACAGTCAGATAGGTCTTCCCTTACCTCCTGTTGCGGGTGAATAAAATAAACTTTGCTTATCTGAAGTCCTACCTTGTGCAGCTCAGCGTCTCACCCCACACCTCTGAAACAATTTCCCTTGGAATGGTGTCAGAACTAGAAGTGCTTGTTACTTGTATTAACTTTTTTACCAAATTCCCCATTTAATACAGTTTTAATGCCCAAAGCTGAAGGCACCATAAACGGTACTATAAAGCTGAATAGGCTATACTGTAGCTTTCTGAGGATAAAAATAATGAACAGATGCAATGATCCATCCCAGAGAAATACCGTGGTGCAAAGATGATGTGGGTTTTCAGGGCTGAGGCAGCTGTGAAGTGAATGAGATGGAGGTGAATTTTAGTGAGCCTGAAATGGAGCATGGATTTCATCAGCAAAGCTGCTGTTGGTTTCTACTCCCAGGCCTCCTGAAAAACAAGCTGAGCGGTGATTGCATGTTGTCAAGCAGTTTCTCTGCTGAACTCCCCATGGTTCCTCATGCCTTCCTCCACTTCTCTAGGGTAAACTGCCAGCACGAATAACGGTGCCTCTGTCGGTGATCAGCCAGCCAGTGAAAGGCAAGAGCGTGGTGACTGCCCCCATCATCAAGGGCAACCTCGGGGCCAAGTGAGTACTTTGTGTTGGGTAGTTTCACTTCAGAAATAGGTTGAGGAAGGTCTGTGTTGGGTAGGTTGCTGGGGAGCTAGCAAGCAGAGGGCGGAAGCAACTTGCAGTTCGTTAATAGGGCAACTAGCTGCAAGGCACCAAATGAATATGGTGTCTGGCAACGAGAAGGTAGTCTTTGTTTAGGTGCCCTGAGATGTAGGTTCTAGCAAATACACTGAAGAAGAAATGTGCTTTGTTTTGAAACCAGCTATTATATTAGTTCTGTGTGTTTGAGCAAGAATTAACCTGGTGACATACCTGAAAATCTGTGTAATCTGAGTCCATCTCTCTGGTAGAGAAACTATGGAAGCGTTAACTGCCTGAGTGCAGATTCCTCTGGCGTTCAGATATCGAAGTCTTTTGTTTGTTCTTCCATGAACTCTGGTAGTGTCTCCCTTAGTTAATATTTCAAGGCAGAACACTGTGTGCTCAGCTATTTTCTGCGCTCCTTGAAAAGTGTTCAGGTCTGATCAGACTAACCCAGGGATGTGCACAGTCCAGAATCAGAGGGTTCAGTTTGTGTGATAAAGTAATTCTCTCTCATAGTGATAAATGTTGACAGGAACTTGTCACTTGTGTGCTTGCCAGTTTTGTGGGGAAAAAAAAAAAATTACTTAAAATCATTAGTAAAATAGATAAGTAACTTTCATCTCTTAGCAACTGAAGAACAATTTGTGAGTCTGAAATTTGTTGTTTTACTAATCTTTTAACAATTCTCTTTCCTTAGCATCAGTGGATTAGGTAGAAATATCATCCTGACTACGATGCCAGCAGGGACAAAACTGATAGCTGGGAACAAGCCAGTGAGTTTCCTGACTGCACAGCAACTGCAGCAGCTGCAGCAGCAAGGCCAGGCCACGCAGGTAACGGCACCTAGAATGATTCTGTTATTTGCTTTTTGGTGACTTAACATCTCCGTGAGGATTTTACACTCGATACATGGGGTTCCACAAAAAGTACCGGTGCACAGCTTGGCTGTAGTGTCTGCACGAAGCACATTCAGCGCATCATCTCCTTCACCATCCCTCCTTACAAATACAGTTTAAAAATGTTTTTTGAAGCACTGATAGTATTATGGATGTAAACCCAAAAATGCTGTCAGGAAATGTTCCCAACTGCTTGCAGGATTGTTTCTGTACACTTGGCTTTTTTTGTAGTACTTTCTGCAGATCAACTTTTCTTGAAGAAGTCGCATCGCTTCTTTGCATATCCATCTTTCTGTCTGGAAACTTAGTGTTCTGTAATTCCAAAGAATTAAGCTGCATTGAGAGCTGCTAGTAACAAGCCTGTCAAGTGTTCAGTGAATCCAGGTCCTTCTGAAAACTTGTAAAAACAGCTGACTTTTAGGTTTTTATTCAAACTGGTTTTTAGTTCTTGCTCTCTAATACTAAGATACTGTGCCACCATCCCACGTGAACAGTGGATGGAGTGATCTTCTCCCAGATTCTGTTCTTGATGTGTTTTGGTGCTTGGTCTTGTTCATATAACTGAATTTTTGTCAGCAGGGGAACCAGATAATTTACCAGTGCTCCAGAGTACGATGCAAGTGCAATATGTCACCAGGTTGTTCCTGACATGAGTTTTTTTTTTTTCCATTTCAAACAGGTGCGAATTCAAACAGTACCAGCCTCCCATCTCCAGCAGGGAACAGTGTCTGGCTCTACTAAAGCAGTTTCCACTGTGGTTGTGACAACAGCTCCATCTCCAAAACAGACCCAAGATCAGCTGTGAACACTGGTTTGAAAAATGGATTGCTTTCTAAGAACTTCCCTGAGTCTGTGGTCACCCTCCATCCAACCACCCAAGACTACCTAACCGCAGTCATGGCTAGGGATTGGACTGGATTCTGTCACCTTGCTTTTCTGGAGTCAGCATTGTGATGTCTAGGTAGAAATTCCTCAGCAAAAGATGCTGTACCGACAAAACAAAATGTTTCAGTCCAGATGTGTAAAGCCAAATGCTGTGGCATTGATCATTTAAGAAATGTCTTCCTTTTCTTTGTTCTCTTCCCATCCGAAGGGCTTTTTTGCAAATACCATTTCTGTGCATTGTGGGTTGTAGACAAAACAGTTGATCTTGGGTCTTCCTTAACCAGGGAAACTTGCTTGGAAGGGGTAATTCAGACTTCTCAAAGTCTTGAAGAAGATGCCTCCTGTTGCTGGAGTCTAGCTGTCACTACTTTTATATAGGTGACTTAGAATGGTGACTTGGACACAGGAGCTTGTTTGTAACATAGCCTGGAAGTAGATCCCTAACACATTCAGTGTGCTATTTATAGACTTTTTTTAAAGACCTCTCCCCTATCTCTGAGCTCACACTTCTTTTGAACAGATACCACTTCCATGTCAAATTTCTGTCAAAGGCGGGATGAGAGTCAAGACGGTTTTTTGCTATCAAAAAAGCTTGTAACCGTGCGGAAGAGTGAGAAGCGGAGGAGAAGCAGAAGGTTGTTGTGTGAACAAGTCTGTCAGCAAATGGGAATATAGTGGAAAGGACAAAGAAAGTGTTCATCAGAAGAACCCTTTAGTTTTCCTCAACAGATAAACCTTTTTATCAGTCAAAAAAGATTGTAGCTTGTTTTAAAAGTTTGGAATATGTTTTCAGGTATACCCAAACTGTAATCTCGGACTCAGAAGAAATATTTTAACCCATGATCCTGGCCTTTAGTTTTGTTTTTTTACCTTTGCAATTTTATCTGTCTGTGTAAACTTGTTTGAATTTTGCACATTCGAGAGATGAATTTCTGACTGTTCTGACATGACCTTGAAACTTTCTTGGAATGAAATCAGAAGACATGTTGGATCAGGAAAAGAATAAAAGGGCAGAAAGCCTTAGAAATCTCTCTGCCATCTCCTTTGGGTTTTGTACAGCTTGTGGTTTTGTGTACAATCGTTGTCTAGCTTGTCAAGGGCTAATAGATTGTGCATCTTTGTTGTAAGATGGTTCTTTTTAACCTGGTTTCTCTTGTAGTCTTTTTTTTTTAAAAAAAATATGTGGTTTGCTCCGAGTTATACATTATTGAATATAATCTATTTAAATAATCAAGTGATACAGTTCAGCGTTCTGCTGGGTGTGTCGGTCTTTCTCTACAATAGCTCACCTGCTTCAGAGGTGGGTTGGAGGAAGTTGGGTTATTTCTGTAAAAAAAGAAGTGGCTCATGCCAAGTATTGAAGAGTCAGGGCACATCAGTACACCGTGGTAAAGCAAGTACTTGAATTATGGTTTTTATGCCTCGAGAACAGAATTTGGAGTATAAAGGTTTTCTGAGCACCTGTCCTACTTCGTCAATTTTTGCACCTTTTTTGTACATTTAACTATCGACCAGGGAGACAGCAGAAAGGCTGCTGACATTCTTCAGTCCTTTTAGTTGTGAAGTTAAAATAAGAAATTAAAGGAGACGACAAGCAACTTCCTAGTATTGCTTATGTGAAAGAGCCTCTAAATTCAAAACATAATGAAGATAATCCTGCTGTGTTTTATGCATAATTAATAAAGTTCTTCAGTGTCAAAACCTACAGTCAAGTGCCGAAAGATGGCTATAGTGTGAAGCCCCTTAAATTTCTCTGAATCCTCTTGCAAGTAGCTCAGCAAATTTGTCGCTGGACACAGGAGGCTTTGGCAGTATTAAATTTAACAAAATAAGAAACTTGCATCTAATCCCGTGAGTTTAGTGTGTCTCAGGTTGTTGCTGCTGCTTGAAGAGTCTTGCTGTTCACATTATCACCATCCTGTATTTGCAACTTTTGCATTCATCGCTGCTCCGCTGGAGCTCATTCTCTTTGCTTTTGAAGTCTCATCTTTGGGGAAAGAGCATCAGTCACTACGTGCTTCTTATTTCGAAGGGCTACATGCTGGACTAAAAACTATGTGTTTACTCCCAACTTTCCAGAACAAAGTACAGCCCGTTTTATGGCTCAGCTGCCACTGGTCTGATGAGTTGCTTCCACTCTGGTTGAAAAATAACCCTTAAGCTACTGCAAGTAAAGAAATCTAGAGCAAGTAAAGAGCCCTTGTTTTTAATAAGTAACCTTTAACTTCTGCACAGTAGGCTGGAGGGCAGAGAGGGGCTTGAGGAGTTTTTTTGGTGTATGCCTCGAGAAAGTGGTATGCTGGCATTGCCCCTTTTCCATCTGTGTGTCCTGCCTGAAGCTCAGGGGGCTTTCAGTCTGGTTTGCCATTACCTTTTTTAATTAAAACATGGAAGTACAGCCTGTTTTCATCACTGTGAGATGCTCTCTAGAGTTATCCAAGAGCCCTGGTTATTTCTTAAAAACTGTGGATTAGATGTTTATTTCCACCAAGAGAATATCATGTAATCATTGCTTACAAAAACCACGCGTGCTACACAAACAGCCACAGGCCATGGAAAGCCTTTCTAACCTTTATTTTAGCAACTGCTCTGTTTTATTTAAATCACGGGAAATCTGTATTTATATCCCTCAGTAGGACACCCTCATAACCTGATGAACTCACCTTGAGGTTACTTCAGGTGTTCCTTGACTAATGCATTGTTCACTCATTTGATGAAAGCTTCAGGGTATCATCGCTATAGCTGGTGAAGCTTCTTGTATACAAACGCAGCGTCATCATTTAATGGGAGTTTTGCGAATGTGTATTGAAACATGGGACCATTTTTGCAAACCATTCCTCCCACCCTGTCCAACCCTGCTACATTAAGTGATGGGATAGCTGAGGATAACAAGGAGTGGAATAACCGTATAGTTTGCAAAAGGGAAATTACGGCATCCAGAGATGGTAGGCTGGATCTATCTTTCTTAATCTGGGTTTTTAATGAGTTATTTTAGGGATGATGTATCTTATGTAAAGGGACCCATTTAATGTGGATTAAACCATTTGAGCATGGATTAATCTTGCATAGAATCATAGAATCATAGAATGAC